CCCTGTGACAGCTGAGAAGGTGAAACAGAGAAGAGCTGCAGTCCTGGGGGTTTGTAACAGAGTCCAGGAGCTGAACACGCAGCGGGTCCTGGCCTTGCCAGCCCCTGCAGCTGGCACTGCTTTTGAGACACCCAAGTGCTGAGCCCAAAACCAAAAGATGGAGATTTTCAGGTAAGACAGTGGGCAGCAAGAACGGACATTTGCTACTCAAACCTTTTGGGGGATGAGATGGTCTTTTCAAAAGAAATTACTTCTTACTAGAAATAAACTTCCGCCCTCTGATTTTCCTTTGAATTTCCTTCAAGTTGTTCACATTTTCATCTAAGAAAGTCCTTGCAGACACCAAAACCGCCCAGTTTATGTAGCATCTTCCAAATTGACCCAAGATTGTGCATTCATGTTCAGGAAAAAAAGAAAAAAAAAAAACCAACACAAAAAAGCTTTAGTTTCAAGACTTAGGTTTAGCAGGAAACAAAAAACATTCATTCCCACCAACCTTCCTCACTTAGAAAAATTTCCTCTGTGCCTTCAGTCCYACTTCCTAAAGAAAGAGGCAACAAAAGCACTGTTCTGTGCCCCAGCAAAGCTCGGAGTCCTCCCTTCTCTCAGAAGCCCCCATGACCCAGCYTTGTTTTCCCAGAGCTTGTGCCCCCAGGCACAGCCCCACCCAGAGCAGTGACCCCAGTGAAACCCCAGTGAAACCCCAAACCCACACAGGGAGCTGAGGAAAACCATCAGGAACCCTCCCAGCARCCACTTTGTGACTGCAGAGCTCAGGGAGAGGGGTGTGAAACCCTCCCCAGCTTTGGGATRAATTCCAAGCCAATATACAATCCAGAGCTCACATTCTCCAATCCTATTTACTGAAACAGTCAGAATTTGCACTTCCCATGGCACCCTGGGCGTATTATTACACTCTGCAATTTCCTTCTGCAAAAGGTCAATTAACTGTACATGTCTGCACCCATTTTGCTAGCTATATAATTTTATCATTTTGGAATAGCAGGGAGAACTGTCGGGGAATTATAAGCAAGAACTGTTCTGCAATAATTAAYAGATGCAAAGATTAAGAAAAGGAGAAAACTAGGCACACAAATGAACAGTAAATTATAACAGTGATCTACCGGGTCAGGATCTTGGGTAGAACAAATTTCTGCTTTAAGCTTTACCATCTCTGCACTACGCCAGAAGCCAAGGAGCAGACTAAACACGACTGGAGAACTGGTTTTGATTTCCCTCTGTTTGAGCTCCAATCCAGGCTGGATTTTTTGCTTGATTTTTCGTCATTAAAAATGGAGATCCTCAGCTGGAGAACAGGGAGGTGTAGGAAGATGAGCTGAGCTTACCCCAGGCGGGTGCACCGTGGCAGTGCCGCGTTATCGGAGCCCAAAGGATGGTTCATGAAGATGAGGACTCAGCTCCTGGCTTTGTGCATTTGCTGTGGGAGATGCTCTCCTGCTGATAACCAGTGGKGAGAGGTTTTTAGCGTTGTCATGGGAACGGCTGTCATCTTCAGAGTGCAGCCTCTCCTCCATGCCAGCCTGCCTTGCTTGTTTACTGCACAGAGCCATTTTCCAGGAGGATTTTGCCTTGGATTTCCAATAGTTTMATTTTTTCCAAAACCCAGGTAAGTAGAAATTATGGAGATTGTAACAGTGCTAAATTATGAATGGTGCTAAACTCGTAAAGGGGAACAGGCAGGATCCAGTGTCAACACCATCAGCTAATTTTCATTTGCAGGATAACTGATCTGACAGTTTCATTACCTTCTTTTCTCAAAAGGCTCATTGTTGCTCCCTCTCTCACATCCCCCCAGGAATTTACCAACAGAATTTGTTTGTACAGTCACACAAGGTGTGGAGGTGAAGCCAGCACACTGCACAGCCCTTTTTAGGATGTGCTGATGCAGAGCCATTTGCAGTGTTTTGTGTTATCAAGGGACAGCCTGTGCAGAAACAGCTGCTCTGAGGGTCCCTTGGGGGATAAATCTTTCATACTCCTGCATGGCCAGGCTCCAGTCCTGCCATGCCACCAGCAGTAGCTCTTGGGAAGACCTCATGTTACCAGCTCTCAGGAATGAGGCAGCATCCTTTATAGTTTCAGTATTCATTTCTGAAAGAACGTGGTAAAAGCAGGGTTTCACGTGATCAACAGTTTGGGTGGATTTTGAAAATGAAAAATTTTTCCAATAGCTGGCTTCATTCTGCACCTGAAATGACCACCTGCCACTTTAGGATCTGGTGGCCCAGTAAGGGGCTTCTGCAGGACAAAGAAAACCATGCAGTGACAAAATGCTACTCTGATTACAGACCACCAAGAAATGCAACTGCCATTCAGCTTGACAGAGATGCTCACTGCAAAAACCARAATGACATGCTCCAGTGATTTATTCCCAAACCATCTCTGGGGATCACACCCTSCTGCTCCCAYAGCAGCAAGTGYTCCTGAGCAGGCCACAAGTTAGTGWCAGGTTACATTACACAGTGTACTACAACATTCTTGGTGTTTTCCTTAAAATCTTTCTACTCTGAGATGATATAAACCCCTGTGAGTCTTTAATTCACAGACAGCTTCTAACACACAACGAGAAGCAGAGCAATCCCTACTGCACTGATCAAAGGCACCAGGCACTTCCAGAACACTCATGGCCCTCCACACCCCTCAGCATCTGCAGCACCAATCCACAATGGCCCTTGACACCCCCATGCAAGACCTTCAGCAGTCATTAGAGGAGCTTGTGATCCAATTCCACACCAGAGCTGCAGCTGAGCAATAAAACTCTGCTGGAGCCAGCCCAGCCACTGCCCTGAGTGTGACAAATGAATGACCTCCATCTCACCCTGCACCAAGYTTCTGTCTGGAACAAATTAAACAGCTTCAGAAGTTAAAGAGATGACACCACACAGACTAATCAAACAGACAGACATTGGGAGAATGTCTCCCGTATTCTTTATTTTCATTTATAGAAAAGTATGAGTGTTCATCAGCAGAATAGAAAGAAAATATTTCAAGTATTTCCCAGTCCTGAACCTATTTCCAAGGCACTTTGTTGTGCTCCACCACTGCAAGGGATCTGCCAAGAAGTCTTGGAAGAGTCTACAGCCTAGAAGTTACAGCTGCAGAACCTAGCACAAGTCCTCTCCAAACGTGTAAGCTGACCCCAGGGGGACACTCCAGCTCAGTGYCATCCCAGCTCCTCACACCCTTGGTGTAAAGGGCCATCCCCTGCAGCACACAGCCAGCAGCCATCCCAGTGTCAGGGGGCCAGGAGGCTGCAGAGGAGCCCTGTCAAAGCCCCCTCACTCAAACATCACTACCGAGGGCTGGGTTACAAACAGTAACAGCCAGGGAACAGCCCCTCTGCAGCCACAGGCCCCAGGCAAACACTTCCACTGCAGGGGATGGGGAGCTCCATTGCTGTSAGCTCTGCCTCTCCCTTGGCCTGAGGCAGCTCCAGCATCACTCAGCATCACTCAGCAGTGCATTTGCTGTGCTCTTCAACTCCCCACCAGGAATGGAGCTGTTACACGTGGGTCAAGCACGTTTCAGTCACCAGCCAAATTCACCCAGTACTCAGATTTTATTAAAAACAGGCTTTTAACAGTATAGAAACATTGTGCTGCTACAGCATTCCAGACACCCCTTGCCACTCCACAAGCTGCCAGGGACACACCACAAACGCTTTCTGGATGGCAGGGGAGGACCAAACCCTGACTTCTTTCCTTACACACAAAGYCATTCCCCCATTCCTGGCAGCTGCTCTGAGGAGAGGCTTCCTTGCCTTTAATGACTGTGGCAGGAATCATGAGCGGCCATGCAGGGAATGCAACCCCTGCAGACAAAGGCATCTAACTCCATTAAACATGCAGCAAATTCCAGAATCCATTCCAGTTACAGGCCTTGTACCCAGGGGACAAATATGYAACACCCTCCATCTAAGTAGGCAGGACACAAATTCATCACTCATGACAGCTGAGGAAAGGCCAGAGCTGTCACAGGGTGATGTGAATGCTGTGGCTTGGATGAGGATCCCAGGCAGCAGCACAGGAGCAGYAGAACCATCCATCTTCTTTAGCAGAACACTGAAACCCCAGCAGGACCCAGGACAACTTCTTACAAGTCTCAACCTGTCAAGAGAACAGCCAACGTTGTGTCTATTCTCTCCATCACAAACAGCAAATACACAGCTTTCAAATCCACCCCAGCCCCACAAAAACCACCATTAGACAAGAACTGCCCTGCACAACACAGGAGCTTCCTCCCTGCCAAGCACAGCAAACAGGATGAACTCAAACTGCACTGTGGGAGCTGCCTTAACTTCAGCTCTGCCCAAGGTTCAACCCCCACCTCTGCCTCCACAGCGCCCTGGGGGTAAAGCCAAAGGCAACAGTCAACACCAGGCCTTGCCAGGTGGGGACACAGCAGCACTTCCCTGCCGGTGCATCAGACATGATCTGGCTTGAACAGCAAGGAATCAGCACTGTCGCTCTGATGGGGAAAAAATTCAGTCATCATTTACACCAGCAAGTCCCTAGGAGCTGTGGCTGCACACCCATGGCACCTGTGTCACACCCCCACCTCCCCTGGCAGAGGCACCGGGAGCAAATGGCAGAGCCATGCCCAGTGTGCAATCCCCTCACACTGCCCTGATCTGGTCAGCAGGGCCAGGACAAACTGCCGTGCCAGCAGCACCTCCCAAAGGGCCACACTTCAGCAGAATGGTTCCTGCTCCTTACTGGGGCAGCACATAATCCACGGATCTCTGCACAGCACTGTTAAAAAGAGCCCTCTGAACACAATGCAGCCTGGAAGCAAACAGGACAGAGCTGTGTTCCAGCTCAGCACACACAGCAGCAGCTTGCAGCTTCCTTGGTTGCTATTCCTGCTGGTTGCTGCTCTGAAGCCACACCTGGCACTTTGGACAAGAACCTCATCACAATGCTTCTGCAGGAGGAAAATCCCTGTACTCTCACTTCTACAAAACCTGAGCTAACACTTGTCAAGTCTTGTTTCCAGCCATGAAGYGGAAGCAACTCCCTTGCAGGAAGGCATTTATTTCCTCCCCTCTTTTTTTTCCTCCCTTATTTTTAAAATTTAATTCAAACGCGTGATTCACATTTACTTCAGAGACTTACCATTATTTGCTAGAACTTCAGGCAGGATGGTGCAAACCAGACAACCGCTCTCATAGTCTTCCACTGTCAGCTGTAGCCTTAAMTTCAGGTCTCCCCAAGGTTCAACCCCCCACCTCTGCCTYCACAGCGYCCTGTGGGTAAAGCCAAAGGAAACCATTAGSAACATGCCCCTGATCCTAGTATTTTGGACATTTGGTAACACCAGGGTGTGGGACACAGCAGCACTTCCCAGCTGATGCATCAGACATGATCTGGCTTGAACAGCAAGAAATCAGCACTGTCGCTCTGATGGGGAAAAAATTCAGTCATCATTTACACCAGCAAGTCCCTAGGAGCTGTGGCTGCACACCCGTGGCACCTGTGTCACACCCCCACCTCCCCTGGCAGAAATATGGATAATAAAGGAGTTCATGTAAATCCTTCCCCCAAAATTGGCTGGTAGCATGCTCTACAGGCTCACAGGACAGGGAAATATTCCAAAAGAATTGAGAACACCGATATATGGGGCTCCAGAGCAGAGTGCAAGACAGCCAAGACTTTTAACAGAAAAACAGGCAACAGGAAGAATTGAACAGGTTATTGCTTTTCACAACCCCTGTGCCGGTGTCCACGCGGGCAAGCACCGTGCTGCCCATGCAGCCGCAGGAGGCCGGGAGCGCCGGCACCGGGCGGTGTTCGGGGCGGGACGGGACCCCCGGGGCAGAGCGGGACCCCCGGGGCAGAGCGGGACCCCCGGGGCAGAGCGGGACCCCGGCCCGGCATCCCGGAGCCCCCACGCACTCCCTGGCCCGGCCGCAGCCCGCATCCCCGGGGCTCCGGCGGGACGGACCCACAGCTGGCACCTCTCCAGGGACACCACTCTGGCAATGCACGGCCCAAGTAATTCAGTAATCCCCTTTAAAGAGCAAATATACATACGCGTATTTTTATACTGTACAGACTTACCGCTTGGCCCCGGCAGGGGCTCAGGCCTGCGCCGCCCCGGTGCCCCCATGGCCGGCCGAGCTCCGGGCACGGGGCTCCTCAGCACCCCGGGCTCCACCGCACCCCGGGCTCCTCAGCACCCCGGGTTCCACAGCACCCCGAGCTCCGCCGCCCCTGCGGGGACACAAAGGGACACAAAGGGAGGGCGGTGAGCACCGGGAGCCGAGCACGGGCAGCGCGGGCCCGCGGCCRCTCCGCTGGTGCCTCAGACACGACCTGGCTTGGACAGCGAGAGTCAACACTGTCGCTCTGACGGGGAAAGAGTCATCACCGCTACCAGCGAACGCCGGGACACGTCCAGCGAGCCCCGGGTGACCGCTCCGGGAGCAGCGGCCGGAGCGCGGTGAGGCGCCCGTGGGGACAGGCCCCGAGGCCGAGCTGAGCGATCCCACGGCGGGCGGACACCTCAGCGGTCCGGCGAGCAGGAGAYGCCTGTGACCGCCCGCAGCGACCCGGCCGAGCCCCCCAAGGGACAGAGGAGAAATCCCGCACCCCCCCCGGCCCCAGCACGGCCCCAGCACGGCCCCAGCACAGCCCCAGCACAGCCCCTGCACGACCCGCACGCACCTTCGCTCCGGAGGAAAAGGCCGAACGCCCCCGCGCCAGGCGCTTTATTCGCTCCGCAGGCCCCGCCCCGGCCCGCCCGCTCTGGGGCCGCAGCCGCGCACGGGCGGAGTCGCGGGGCCTTCGCGGAGCTGTTGTGCTCCATCCGGCCCCGCTGCGCTCCCGGGGCGGGGCTGCCCTCCCTCCCTGCCTCCCTCGCTGCCGCCGCTATCGCGATGGCGGAGCCGGAGGCAGCGGGCAGCAGGCAGCAGGCAGCGGGCGGGAGGCGCGGCGGGGCCGCCATTTGGCGRTGCGGGCGGCCGGGGCTGTGCTCATGGCGGGAGCGCTGCGGGTGCCTGAGGGCGGAACGGGCGTGTGGGTSCGCCTGCTGTTCTACCGGGATGGGCGAGCGGGCTTTGGGTTCCTTACAAAGGGAAAGAAAGCGATGGAGAGCTGTTCCGTGAGTCGCCCAAAGGCACGTGCAGCTGCAGCGCCAGCATCCATGAGGCCCTGAGGGCAGAGCAGCAGCCGGCATTGYGTTCAATTCACCGGGACTCGGCTCGGCTTTGTGCCGCGGAAACCCTGCCCCTGTCTGGGTACACAGCACACTCAGCTACTTGGCTTTTACGTGCTTTTGACAGGCAAATTGTGTGCGTCAGATAATTTGCAGCCGAGTTACGTGAACGAAAACAGCCCGGTTTCAAGCTACTGCCGTGAGTGGTGATTTTTATAGCTGAAAATTCGCCTTGGAAACGGGGTGTGAATTGAGTCATGGGGCTCTAGTGGGGACTGCCATCCCCGTGAAGGTGTTCCGAGCCCTRCAGACAGCCCGGTGCATCTCCCGTGTTGGGCGAGCTCAGCCGGGCTCGGCTCCTCTTCCCGGGCCGGCTGTGCTGAGGAGCTGCCACGGCAAGGGGTTCTGAGGTAGAAAAATTTGCAATACAAAGCCTCAGCCTAGCAAGTTTCTTTTAATTATTAAATGTACAGCATTTTAGTTCTACAAATTTAAAAAAAAAAACCCTTTACAATGTTTGGGGATTTATTTTTGCTTATAATGATCACACCCAACACGATTCAATGCAATCTGTCGGCAGTTCCTGTGGCCCAGTTGCTTTGGATGATGCAGATCAAATGGCCATGACATTTAGACATGAGACAGCATGTGTAGGAACTGCTCTCAGTGGCAGGAGTTGCTGCAGGAACAGCACTGCAGGTCCCAGGTAAGCGAACACTGAACATAGCTCACACTCAAACAAGACACTGACACACTGTCAGCCTGTGGTGCCCGTGCCCGAGGGTTTGCACCACTGCCCCAACATCGCTGAGGCAAGGCAAGCTTGTGGCTCAAATTACAAACAAACACGGAAACTTCCAAGTAGAGACTTTGAAACTGAAGTCCCACCCACAGGCTGTGCCAGGTTCCTCATTTAAGTTATCTTCAAAGTTTCACTCACAAGTCCAGTTGAAGCTCCCATGAACAAAGCTGCACTAACACTGTGGCACAAATAACAAACTGTTCTCATGTTACTTTGCATTCCCYTGCCCTGCCAGGTGTGCACACCCTGCGCAGCACAGAACTGAGAACATTCTCTATGCACTCGAGGATYACTGGAAATTACTCCATAGCTTAACACACTGCCCGGACTAGAGCACAAGCATTACAAAGCTATAAAAAAGCAGCCCCTGTGGTGGTGTACAAGAATAAATTAACCAAAAAATTAGTATTACCATTTATTGGTGACAAACACTACGTTTTACTTACATTCCATGGGGAGAAAAAATTCCAGCGTAAACAATGAACGGAAGCAGTACTGAACTCGCGCGGCTATCGTGCTGTACCTGGACCAATGCAAACCTCAGCGCGCACCGGCCGTGCGCAAGAACACAACATCAAAAGCAACACAGTTATATATAAACATAGGTAATCTTTTTCAGCCCTACATGGAGATGTAATTAAACAGTATAAAGCACTCAAGGAAAATCAATCTGCAGTTTTATATGCACTACATTGAGATCATATCCTGTAGAGAGCTGTGAGCCACCAACACACAGTCCCTAAAACACAGCTCAGAGATCACTGAAAGTCACGTTGCATTCAAGTTCCCCTACCCCACACTCAAGAAAACTAGAAATTATCCAAAAATGATCAAACCAAGTTTAAAATTCCTAAAGTGTTTAAATTCATTCAACCATTGGATAATTAGGGTTGGTTTGCGAAAATATGGGGCTTTTGAAAATGGTGGGACATAGCCTGTTTCCAGTGAAACGCTGCTATTCCAATAAAACCAAAATAACCACATACATGGATATGATCTTCCCAAGTTAGTTCACAGGTAATGTCAGTCTCAGAAGACAAAGTTTCTAAACTGTGCTATGGTTCTAGATACAATTAAGAAACTTTTAAATGAAAAATTTATAGTGTCATTTCAATCAAAACAACATAACGAAACTAAAAATGTATCACTGTTTGAATAAAAAGCAACAGTTATGATTTAGACACTACAGTAGGTTGTAGAGACTGTAGCACTCCAACAGTTAGGTTACATTAAGAGGAAGCATTTGATTTTCTCTGGTGCTTTCAGGTTTGGGTTCAGTCAAGAGCCTGTTTCAGGCAGTGCTGTCCAGTGTTTGTCCCAAAGGGTTTGCACTCGCCGGTTTGAGGAGAGGGTCACTTTCCATTTCTTGTTTCACACATCTAAAATGATAAAACACCTGTTACTTAGGAGACAAAACACTATTTAAATTGGATGTTTTAAATTGGATACAAATAATTTGATATGCATTTACACAATTGCTGGGGTCACACTGGGCTGGGGTCACCCACTGCTGGGGTCACCCACTGCTGGGGTCACCCACTGCTGGGGTCACACTGGGCTGGGGTCACCATTGCTGGGGTCACNACTGGAAATTACTCCATAGCTTAACACACTGCCCGGACTAGAGCACAAGCATTACAAAGCTATAAAAAAGCAGCCCCTGTGGTGGTGTACAAGAATAAATTAACCAAAAAATTAGTATTACCATTTATTGGTGACAAACACTACGTTTTACTTACATTCCATGGGGAGAAAAAATTCCAGCGTAAACAATGAACGGAAGCAGTACTGAACTCGCGCGGCTATCGTGCTGTACCTGGACCAATGCAAACCTCAGCGCGCACCGGCCGTGCGCAAGAACACAACATCAAAAGCAACACAGTTATATATAAACATAGGTAATCTTTTTCAGCCCTACATGGAGATGTAATTAAACAGTATAAAGCACTCAAGGAAAATCAATCTGCAGTTTTATATGCACTACATTGAGATCATATCCTGTAGAGAGCTGTGAGCCACCAACACACAGTCCCTAAAACACAGCTCAGAGATCACTGAAAGTCACGTTGCATTCAAGTTCCCCTACCCCACACTCAAGAAAACTAGAAATTATCCAAAAATGATCAAACCAAGTTTAAAATTCCTAAAGTGTTTAAATTCATTCAACCATTGGATAATTAGGGTTGGTTTGCGAAAATATGGGGCTTTTGAAAATGGTGGGACATAGCCTGTTTCCAGTGAAACGCTGCTATTCCAATAAAACCAAAATAACCACATACATGGATATGATCTTCCCAAGTTAGTTCACAGGTAATGTCAGTCTCAGAAGACAAAGTTTCTAAACTGTGCTATGGTTCTAGATACAATTAAGAAACTTTTAAATGAAAAATTTATAGTGTCATTTCAATCAAAACAACATAACGAAACTAAAAATGTATCACTGTTTGAATAAAAAGCAACAGTTATGATTTAGACACTACAGTAGGTTGTAGAGACTGTAGCACTCCAACAGTTAGGTTACATTAAGAGGAAGCATTTGATTTTCTCTGGTGCTTTCAGGTTTGGGTTCAGTCAAGAGCCTGTTTCAGGCAGTGCTGTCCAGTGTTTGTCCCAAAGGGTTTGCACTCGCCGGTTTGAGGAGAGGGTCACTTTCCATTTCTTGTTTCACACATCTAAAATGATAAAACACCTGTTACTTAGGAGACAAAACACTATTTAAATTGGATACAATAATTTGATATGCATTTAACAATTTTTTGCCATATAGCTGCCCCAATTTATAATCCATTAGCACTTTGTTAATTCCACCACTGTTAATTTGAGAGTTTATTATCTCAA